CAGAGCAGAAATCCCTGGTCCTAACGGAAGAACCCACAAGGTCCTGGCCAAAAGCCCGGCTCTACTCCCGCTATCTCTGACAGCGTGGCCAAGTCCCTTGACCTCCATCAAGGAGCCTCAGTTTCCTCATCTGCAAATTGGGGGCCACCAGGGCAGCCGGAAGGCTTCAGTAAGATGATACACATACAAGGGCTTGTCACCATGTCTGGGCAACGGGCCGCGGTCACACTTGTTACCGATGCCGCTAACACAAGGCCACCTCTACAACAGGCCTGCCTGGGAAGGATCCTGGCCAGGGAGAGTCCCCAACAGTGGGGAACCCCAATCACAGGGTTCAGCCACTGGCCCAGGCCTGGGCTGACGACCAAGGCCCCAGGTTGGTTTGAAAACCTCTGCTTTTACAGAAGGAATGGAAACATCCTCTCTCCTGAGGCTGGGCGCCGCAGGCAGGCTGCTCCTTGAGTGGTGGGCCTCTGCTTCCCCCGGACCCCCTTGTGGTGGGCACCCTGACCTGCTGTGGCCAGAAGCTGAGGTTCAGATTCAACCTGAAACCAAACCCAGTGCTGTCAAGTCAATTCCAACTCATAGCGACGCTACAGGACAGAGCAGAACTGCCCCCAAAGGGTTTCCAAGGCTGTAAATCTTGACAGGAGCTGACTGCCGCATCAAGCTGACTGCCGCATCTTTCTCCCGAGGGGTGTCTGGTGTTTGAACCTCCAGTCTTTCGGTTAGCAGCCAGGCTCTTAACCCACTGCGCCACCAGGGCTAAGTTTCAGATTGGAAAGACTAATGTGTGGGTGGGGCTGGGAGAGGGTAAAACCAGGCTGCAGCCGGCTAACCCTAACTCCACCTTCTGCTGCTGGAGAGAGTTTCACTTCCCTGCCCCGAAATGCAGCAGGGGGCTGGGTGACTGGGCATTTCTGCTTCAGTCCAAAGTGGCTGGGATCAATCACAGCTTTGGGGGAGAGGGCACGTAGGAGCTGTTTCTCTCTAGACTTCGTCCTGGTCCTGCCTACCACCCACCCCGCCCATGGAGACCTCCCCACAACCCAGCTGTGTCCCTGCAGGCCCTCTGCCTCTCAGAAAGTGGAGGTGGTGGGGGCAGGAGTGCAAGGCCGGCTCCCTAGGCCAGAGCTCGGGCACACCCTGGCCTGGGGCTCCAGGCGCCTGGCCCCTGGGCCACTGCCGGACACCTTGCTGATGCGGGCTGCTGGCCGGCCACCATGCTGGTGCAGGCCGCTGGCCGGCCTTGGTACCATCGCCCAGCAGCCCTTGGGCTCCTACCTGCCATGGCGCTGGTGCTGCCATGGGCCCAGCAGGAGCCACAGTACTGGGGGATGTGCTGGTTCCTGGTGATGCTGGCATAGTTGACGCCCTTCACGTTGCGCCAGTCCCAGCTCTGGGGCAGGTCTGACGGGGACAGATACTCATGAGGCCGGGGGTAGGTTCTGGAAAGACACCACCGCCAACAAAATCAGCGCTGGGGCCACTGGGCACCCCCAGAGGACCACAGATGCAGGGGCCCTCCCTGGCGCTCCCCCTTCTCCAAAATGTGCCATCACCCACCAGGGGCCCAAGGCACTAAGAATGGGAAGGAGGCAGGGTGTCCCCAGTGAGGGAGCTGGAGGCAAAACCCTCAAAATGAGGGAGCTAGGGGTAAGACCCCCAAAATGAGGGAGCTGGGGGTAAACCCTCCACAGTGACAGGGCTGGGGACAAGCCCCAGACACCAGGCAGGTGGGAGCCCCAGAGGCCTGGGCCCTGGCCGGGCTTTTGGAACAGTCGGGGCCTGTCCAGCCCCGCAAACGCCAGGTGACCCCCCACCCCAACGAGGGGTGGATTGACCCCAAGGTCACAGGGCAGGGTCTGGGTCCCTAAGCCCGAGGAGGGGCCACCGCCGTCCCGCGCCCGCCCCCCTGACCTGCGGCCCTGCGCAGCCAGCGGGTCCCCGCGCCGGGCGTGGTAGCAGCTGTGGCCGGGACGGAAGTAGAGGCCGGCCCGCGCCGCGCCCGCCAGCAGCACGAGCAGCAGCAGCAGCACCCGCCGCTGCGCTCCGCACGACGCCATGCTGCGCTGCTCCAGGCCCCGCTCCGGGTCGTGCTCCGGGCCCCGCCCTGGGTTCTGCTCTAGATCCCGCTCCGGCTTGCGCTCAGATCCCGCGCCGGGTCAGCTCCCACCCGGGCCCAACGCCACCGGCCCTTAAGGCGGCAGCCGCGCCTGGGACACTCCCCCGGGGCGGGGCCGCCCGGAGGAGCCCTGGCCCCGGTGACCCCGGCCCCGCCCCGCCCTGCACCCTGCTCTGCGCCCTGGGCCGTGTAGACGCGGCCCGGGCGCCCGAACTTGGGGCGTGCACGGAGGCCTTGGAACCAGACCCCAGACCTGATCCCCAAAGTAAACGCTACTTCTGGCCACCGTGGCTTGGTGACTGAGGCCATCAATGTCAAACGGGATTCACTTTCTTGGTGCCCTGCCGGGGAGGGGGCGGGGTGTGCAGGACCCGGAGGGCACCCCCCAGCCCTGGATTCTTGGGACCCCACCACCACCTGCCCTGAACCACATGAGGGCCCAGACCTCCCCAGGAATGGGTACGGATTCTCCCAAATCTGGGGAGGAGGTCACTGTCCCCCAACAATTATGGCTGGCCTGGCTTTCTGAACCCTGATCCCAAAGGCCCCCTGTTTCTGGACAGATGTTTACCCTTCACAGAGAAGGAAGGTGAGATCCTTTCAGAAAATACCCAGAAAGGAAAATTCTGCTTGCACAGAAATCACTAGTCCACATTTCTGACTTCCAAAGATGCTTGAAGAGGCTTCCTGCTAACAAAACCCAGTGTAGTCAAATGGGGAACGAAAAGCAGAAGTGGGACCTCAGGACTTGGTTTCATAACTTCAGAGTTTCTCCCTCCCTCCTGGTCCTTGTGCATGGCTGACCTAGTCAGCAGGCCAGAAAACAGCCTCCTTTGCTTTGTAAGGGAGCCCTGGTGGCGCAGTGGTTAAGAGCTCGTCTGCTAACCAGAAGGCTGCTAACCAGCAGTTCAAGTCCACCATCCACTCCTTGGAAACCCTATGGGGCAGTTCTACTCTGTCCTATAGGGTCGCCGTGAGTCAGAATGGACTCAACAGCAATGGGTTTTTGTTTTGCAAGCAAAGGGCCTAGGCATTTGGTTCTACGGAAGTCTCCTGGCCTTTGCTGGGGAGGGGCCTCTGATGCCTTCACGTGGCTCATTCCCGCTCCTAAGCAGGCACCCGGCCTTTGCTACAGGGGCCTCCAATGCCTTCACGCAGCTTACCCCAACTCCTAAGCATGCATCTAGGCTTTCAGACCTCTGAGGGCACCACCATGGCACTCAAAAATCAAAACGGCTGCCTCCGTGTCTTCTCGCCTGACACACGTGCCCCGGAGGCACTGAGGTAACTAACTGTGGATCCAAGTGGGGCTGAGAAACTGGCTGGATCGCGCAGCTCTTGTGAGAGCAGAGAGGTCTGAGAGGCAAAGGTCAGGCCCTGCTTCCTCAGCACAGACCAACTCACAGCAACCTGACAGGACAGAGTAGAACTGTCCCATAGAGTTTCCAAGGAGTGCCTGGTGGATTTGAACTGCTGACCCTTTGGTTAGCAGCCGAGCTCTTAACCACTACGCCACCAAGGTTTCCTCAGCACAGAAGTTTCAGCCTTTGTTCCTAAAGAGCTGTCCCTGAGGCGAAGTGTGGGCCTGGGGCTCTATCTTGACTTGTCTGCTATCTTGTTAGATGTCAGGCTGTGACAGAGGCCCTCATCTGACCCATGAGAGGTCAGGTGTGTGCCAGGGTGGGGAGGGCACAAGGCTTCCAGAGCTGTTGGCTCCAACAGATGTCTCGTGGCCTTCGATGTGAAAGGTGTGGGAAGGGACTTGTCACCTGAGCTCCAGCTGGGGCTTTCCTCCTCCCACATCAACTCTCCTTTGCCTCCACGACGAAAGTCGTTCAAGTTGAAGAAGAAACCCAGGCCCAATTGTCCCCCGACACCAGGTGGCGTCTTCCTAAGGGTTGGGATTTGGTGTCTCTTAAAGAAAAAGCAGAAACCTCACTGTTGCTAAAGAACGACCAAAATGGTCACAATATTGTGGGGTAAAGATAGTGTGGGGATCCCCTGAGCACCAAGATAGGTTCACAGTGGTGGCCAAGTCCAACCACACAACCTACAACTTGGGGAGACAGGAGCCCTGGCAGGGAAGGGCTCCCCAAGGCTGAGACCTCATTCATGGGGCTGTGATGCCTGGGGCTCTGGTCCCTGACATTGGGTAGAAACACGCCCCAGTTATGAGGTTTTCCACCCGTATAGGGTTGGGAGGGACCCCTGGTGGCGCAGTGGTTAAGAGCTTGGCTGTTAACCAAAAGATTGGCAGTTCAAATTCACCAGCCGCTCCTTGGAAACCTTGTGGGGCCGTTCTCCTTTGTCCTATACGGTTGCTATGAGTCAGAATTCACTCAACGGCAATGGGTTTGGTTTTTGGTTGTTTAGTGTTGGGAGACCTGGGATGCTCTGAAGAGGCCCTGAGGTGCTCAGAGAAGGTCCACCACTTGTAGAAGGTATAAGACAGGCAGGGCTGGCTTCCTGGGCTTGTGAGCTGGGCAGACACACAGGGCCCAGTCTGGGAAGCTTCTTTGTCCCCCTGGACCTAAGACTAAGGGGGCATGCTACAGGCAAAAGGGGTGCAGCCACAGCAAGAGGCCCAGTCCAGGATGCATCTTGGTCACTTGGGCCCAAGACTTACCTTCCCTGCCCAGAGATGCAAGGGCAGGTGGACAGAACCAGTAAAAGGGACACGGCTACAAAAAGTGGCCCATTCTAGACGTTAATAGACGTTTCACCGAAGAAAAAATTCAAATGGCCAACAAGCACATGAAAGGATGCTCAACATCATTAGTCATTGCTGTTGTCAGGCGCCAACTCATAGCAACCCTACGTACAACAGAATAGACACTGCCCGGTCCTGCACCACGCTACAACTGTTGCTATGTTTGAGTCCACTGTTGCAACCACTCTATCAACCCATCTCATCAAGAGCCTTCCTCTTTTTCACTGACCCTCTACTTTACCAAGCACAATGTCCTTCTCCAGGGACTGGTCCCTCCTGATACTATGTCCAAAGTATGTGAGATGAAGTCTCACCATCCTCTCTTCCAAGGAGCACTCTGGCTGTACTTCTTCCTAGACAGACTTGTTTGTTCCTCTGGCGGTCCACGGTATAGTCAATATTTGATTAGGAAAATGAAAATCAAAACCACAATGAGATATCACTTCACATCCACTAGGATGGCTATGATTTAAAAAATGCAAAATAACAAGGGTTGATGAGGATGTGGAGAAACTGGAACGCTTATCCATTGCTGCTGGGAATATAAAATGGTACAGCCGCTGTGGACAACAGTCTGGCAGCTCCTCAAAAAGCTAAACAAAGAATTACCATATGACTCAGCAATTCCTCTCCTAGGTATGTACCCAAAAGAATGAAAAGGAGGAACACAAGCAGATACTTGTACATCAATGTTCATTGCAGCATTATCCACTATAGCCCAAAAGTGGAAACAATCGAAATGTCCATCAACAGATGAATGGATAAACACAGTGTGGTCCATCCAGACAAGGGAACATTACTCAGCCATAGAGAGAAATGAAGTCCCGATACATGCCACAACATGAATGAACCTTGAAAACTATGCTGAGTGAAATAAGTTAGACACAAAAAGACAAATACTGAATGATCCGACTTACATGAAATATCTAGAATAGGCAATTGTATAGAGACCAAAGTTTATGAGTGGATACCAGGGGTGGGTGGGAGGGAGCGGGGAAGGAAGACACGATGTTTCGGGACACAGAGAATCTGTTAAGGAAGGGTGATGGAAAATTTCGGGAACGGTTAATGGTGATGGTTGAACAACACGATAAATGTAATTAATGTCACTGAACTGTGCATGTGAAGATTGTAGAAATGGCAAATGATCTGTTACCTATATACTTTCCACAATTAAAAAAGGAAGAAAAAAGGGGTCCATTCCGGAAAGCCTCTTTGTCCCTCTGGGCTCAAGACTCGCCTCTCCTTCCCAGGGACATGGGGGCAGCCGCTTAATGTCATGCCCCACTGACAGAGAGCTCTGCAGATTAAGGTGATAACAGGCCTCATCTGCCGATCAGGAGCCCTTCCAAGCCTGGGGCCTCCAGCTGGTCCCAATTAACCAGCCAGGGTCACATTGAGAGACGGGAAGGTCACTGAGATCAAGAAGCCTAAGGAGCCCTGGCAGTGCAGTGGTTACATGCTTGTCTGCTAACTGAAAGGTTGGTGTTTGAACCCACCAGTGGCTCGCCGGGAGAAAGATGTGGCAGTCTGCTTCTGTAAAGATTACAGCCTTGGAAACCCTATGGGGCAGTTGTACTCTGTCCTCTAGGGTCACTGAGAGTAGGAATTGACTGGACCGCAATGAGTGTGGTTTTTCTTGGTTTGGAATTTCTCTGAGGGGTGACTAAGGTGGAATCTCAAAGAGTAAGCTCCTGGGTACCCTACTGAGTGCAAGTAGAGAGGAAGGGTGGCATTGTAGGGCTGACGATGAAGAGGGAGCCCCAGATGACAGGTGTGGCTCAGGGGGTTCCCTTGAATGGAAGCAGCTCAAGCTCAGAAAACGATGAGAAAACAGTGCAGGGGAGGAAGGACGTACATTTGAAACCGTAGTTATGGAGCCAAAGAAGAAGGAAGTGGAACGAAACATGACTGACTCACTGTCTACTTCTTCACCACTCGTGACAGGTCAAACACAGTGAGGCCAGGCGGAACTGGGACTCTTTAGCACTCGAGCTTCCTGGCTCTGGGTGGTGGATGTGTGTCCACCTGCTGAACACTGTTTGAGAAGCTGGCTGGCCACATCACTCGGGAGGTTCCTTCAGCAGTTTCCTAAACATGTTCTATGGAGGGGTGGGCCAGAAACCCAACCAAACTCCAATTACGACCCACAAAATGATCTCACAGCACAGGCCACCTGCCCTGCTGCTAGATGTGGATGTTGAGCTCTCTGACCTCTATAAAGACCCTGCTACATAACGTTACTAAGGGACTAAGGAAGAGGAGGGGCAGTGGTGGTTCCGTGGTAGAATTCTCATCTTCCATGTGGGAGACCCAAGTTCCTTTCCCAGCCAATGCACCTCCTGTGCAGCCACCACCCATCTGTCAGT